AGTCTGTGGGGAGGAGCGGGGAAGGAGTCTGTAGGGGGGGAGCGTGTGAAGAGTCTGGGGGAGGGGGCGGGGAAGGGGGTCTGGGAGGGGGGGAGCGGTGAAGGGTCTGTGAGGGGGGGAGCGTGTGAAGGATCGTGAGGGAGGGAGCTGTGAAGGACTGTGAGGGGGGGAGGTGGAAGAGTCTGTGAGGGAGGGCGGTGAAGGGGTCTGTGAGGGGGGGACGTGTGAAGGGGTCGTTGGGGAGGGACGTGTGAAGGAGTCGGAGGGAGGGGCGTGTGAAGGAGTCGTGAGGGGGGGAGCGTGTGAAGGGGTCGTAGGGGGGGAGCGTTGAAGGGGCCCCTGAGGGGGGGAGCGTGTGAAGGAGTCGTGAGGGAGGGACGTGTGAAGGGGTCCCCGTGAGGAGGGAGCGTGTGAAGGACCTGTGGGGGGGACTTGAAGGGGTCTGGAGGGAGGGACGTGGAAGGATCTGTGAGGGAGGGGGCGTGTGAAGGAGTCTGGAGGGGGGGGCGTGGAAGGATCTGGAGGAGGGACTGGAAGGAGTCCCTGTGAGGGGGAGCGTGTGAAGGAGTCTGTGAGGGAGGGACGTGTGAAAAGGGGTCTGGAGGGGGGGGAGCGTGTGAAGGAGTCCCCGGAGGGGGGGAGCGTGTAAGGAGTCTTGAGGGGGGGAGCGTGTGAAGGATGTGAGGGGGGGCGTGTGAAGGGTCGCGGGAGGGAGCGTGTGAAGGGGTCTGCGAGGGAGGGAGCGTGTGAAGGAGTCTGCAGGGGGGGAGCGTTGAAGGAGTCTGCGAGGGAGGGGAAATGTGAAGGAGTCTGGAGGGAGGGAACGTTGAAGGAGTCTGCGAGGGGGGGAACGGTGAAGGGCTGCGAGGGGGGGAACGTGTGAAGGAGTCGCGAGGGGGGAACGGTGAAGGGGTCGCGGGAGGGAACGTGTGAAAGGGGTCTGCGAGGAAAGGGGGCGTGTGAAGGGGTGTGAGGAAGGGGGGCGTGTAAGGAGTCTGCGAGGGAGGGGAAAGTGTGAAGGATCGCGAGGGGGGGAACGTGTGAAGGGCTGCGAGGGGGGGAACGTGTGAAGGAGTCTGCGAGGGAGGGAACGTGTGAAGGAGTCTGCGAGGGAGGGAACGTGTGAAGGAGTCTGCGAGGGAGGGAACGTGTGAAGGAGTCTGCGAGGGAGGGAACGTGTGAAGGAGTCTGCGAGGGAGGGAACGGGAAGGAGCCGAGGGGGGGGAAAGTTGAAGGGGTCTGCGAGGGGGGAAATGTAAGGAGTCGCGAGGAGGGACGTGGAAGGAGTCTGCAGGGAGGGAAAAGTGTGAAGGAGTCTGCAGGGAGGAACGGTGAAGGGGTCTGCGAGGGAGGAACGGTGAAGGAGCTCGAGGGGGGGAACGGTGAAGGAGTCTGCAGGGGGGAACGTGTGAAGGGTGGGAGGAGGGAACGTGTAAAGGGGTCGTGAGGGAGGGGGCGGTGAGGGAGGGAGCGTGTGAAGGATCTGTGAGGGAGGAGCGTGTGAAGGAGTCTGTGAGGGAGGGACGTGGAGGGAAGGGGGCGGTGAAGGGTCTGTAGGGGGGGAGCGTGGAAGGGGTCCCGTGGGAGGGAGCGTGTGAAGGAGGCTGTGAGGAGGGAGCGTGTGAAGGAGTCTGTGAGGGAGGGGGCGTGGAGGGAGGGAGCGTGGAGGGGGGGCGTGTGAAGGGGTCTTTAGGGGGAGCGTGTGAAGGGGTCTGTGAGGAGGGGAAATTGAAGGGGTCGAGGGGAGGGAACGTGTGAAGGGTTTGAGGGGGAGCGTGTGAAGGAATCTGGAGGGAGGGGGGTGTGAAGGGGTCTGTGAGGAGGAACGTGTGAAAGGAGCTGTGAGGGGGGGGAACGTGTGAAGGAGTCTGCGAGGGAAAGGAGCGTGTAAGGAGCTGCGAAGAAGGGAGCGTGTGAAGGATCTTTGGGGAAGGAGCGTGTGAAGGATCTGTGAGGGAAAGGGGGGGGTGGAAGGATCGTGGGGAGGGGAAAGTGTGAAGGGAGCGTGAGGAGGGGAAATGTGAAGGGGTCTGTGAGGGGGGGAACGTGTAAGGGTCTGTAGGGAGGGGAAGGGAAAGGGGTCGGAGGAGGGAACGGTAAGATCTGGAGGGAGGGAACGTGGAAGAATCTGTGAGGGAAGAAACGGTGAAGGGGGTCTTTTAGGGGGGGAACGGTAAGGATCGGAGGGGGGAACGTGTGAAAGGGGTCTGTGAGGAATAAAGGTAAGGATCTGGAGGGAAGAAAGTGAAGAGTCTGGGGGAAAAACGTGTGAAGGATCTGGAAGGGGAAACGTGTGAAGGAGCGTGAGGGGGGGAGCTTGAAGAGTCTGGGGGAGGGGGCGGTGAAGGGGTCTTGTGGGGAGGGGGCGGGGAAGGATCTGTGAGGGGGGAGTGGAAGGGGCTGTGAGGGGGGGGCGGGAAGGATCTGTGGGAGGGAGCGGTGAAAGGGGTCTGTGAGGGGGGGAGCGTGGAAGGATCGAGAGGGGGAGCGTGTGAAGGAGTCGTGAGGAGGGACGGTAAGGAGTCTGGAGGGAGGGAGCGGTGAAGGGGTCCCGTGGGGAGGGACGTGTGAGGAGCTGGAGGGAGGGAGCGGGTGAAAGGGGGAGGGGGGAGCGTGTGAAGGAGCCGTGAGGAGGGAGCGGGAAGGATCTGTGGGGAGGGGCGTGGGGAAGGAGTCGTGAGGGGGGGAGCGGGGGAAGGAGTCTGTGAGGGGGGGAGCGTGGAAGGGGCTGGAGGGAGGGGGCGTGTGAAGGAGTCGGAGGGGGGGGACGTGGGAGTCTGTGAGGAGGGGGCGGTGAAGGGTCTGTGAGGGAGGGAGCGTGTGAAAGGGCGTGAGGGAGGGGCGTGTGAAGGAGCTGGAGGGGAGCGTGTGAAAAATCTGTGAGGGGGGAGCGTGGAAGGGGTCGTGGGGAGGAGCGTGTGAAGGGGTCTTGGGGGGGAGGAGCGTGTGAAGGAGTCTGTGAGGGGGGGAGCGTGTGAAGATCCCGTGGGGGGAGCGTGTAAGAGTCCTGTGGGGGGGGAGCGTGTGAAGGAGTCTTTGAGGGAGGAGGTTTTGAAGGGGTCTGTGAGGGAGGGGGCGGTGAAGGGGTCTGTGAGGGGGGAGCGTGTGAAAGGGGTCTTAGGGGGGGAGCGTGTAAGGATCTGGAGGGGGGGAGCGGTGAAGATCTGTGAGGGGGGGGCGTTAAGGGGTCTGTGAGGGGGGGAGCGGGGAAGGGGGTCAGTGAGGGAGGGAGGTTGAAGGGGCTGTGAGGAGGGACGGTTTTAAGGACTGTGAGGGAGGGAAAGGGGGAAGGATTGAGGGGGGGACGGGGAAAGGGGTCTTTGGGGGGGAGCGTGTGAAGGAGTCTGTGAGGGAGGGAGCGTGTGAAGGGTCTGTGAGGGGGGGAGCGTGTGAAGGGTCTTGAGGGAGGGAGCGTGTGAAGAGCCCCGTGAGGGAGGGCGTGTGAAGGGGTTGAGGGAGGGCGTGTGAAGGAGTCTGTGAGGGGGGGGGTGTGAAGAGTCTGCGAGGGAGGGAGCGGTGAAGGGTCTCGAGGAGGGAGCTTGAAGGGGTCTGCAGGGGGGAGCGTGTGAAGGATCTGCGAGGGAGGGGAAATTGAAGGAGTCTGCGAGGGGGGGAAAGGTTTTAAAGGGGCTGCGAGGAGGGGAAATTGAAGGGCTGCGGGGAGGGAACGTGGAAGGGTCGCGAGGGAGGGAAAGGTAAGGAGTCTCGAGGGAAGGGGAACGTGTAGGAGTCTGCGAGGGGGGCGTGTGAAAATGGAGGAAGGAGCTGTGAAGGAGTCCCGCGAGGGAGGGGAAAAAGGGAAGGAGTCTGCGAGGGAGGGAACGGGTGAAAGGAGTCAGGGGGGGAACGTGTGAAGGAGTCGCAGGGGGGGAACGGGAAGGAGTCTGCGAGGAGGGAACGTGTGAAGGATCTGCGAGGAGGGGGAAAGTGGAAGGGGTCGCGGGGAGGGGAAAGTGGAAATCTGCAGGGAGGAACGTGTGAAGGGTCTGCGAGGGAGGGGAACGGGGAAGGATCTGCGGGGAGGGAACGGGGGAAGGAGTCTGGGGGGGGGGAACGTTGAAGGGTCTGCGAGGGGGGAACTGTGAAGGGTCTGCGAGGGAGGGAACGTGTGAAGAGTCTGCGAGGGGGGGAACGGTGAAGGAGCTGCGAGGGGGGGAACGGTAAGGAGTGAGGGGGGAAAGGGGAGTTGTAGGGAGGGAGGGTGAGGGAGGAGCGGTGAAGGGGTCGTGGGAGGGGCGTGGAAGGGGTCGGAGGGGAGCGTGGAGAAAGCGTGGGAAGGAATCGTGGGAGGGACGGGAAAGTCGTAGGGGGGGGAGCGGTGAAGGATCTGTGAGGGGGGCGTGTGAAGGGGTCGTGAGGGAGGAGCGGGTGAGGGAGGGGGCGTGGGGGAGGGAGCGTGTGAAGGAGTCTGTGAGGAGGGAGCGGTGAAGGATCTGTGAGGGAGGGACGTGTGAGGGGTCTGAAGGGAGGGAACTGTGAAGGAGTCTGTGAGGAGGAGCGTGGGAAGGGAAACGGAGGGGGGGGAGCGGTGAAGGAGTCTGTGAGGAGGGAACTGTGAAGGATCTTGAGGGGGGGAACGGGGAAAAGGGGTCTGCGAGGAAGGGAGCGGTGAAGGAGTCTGCGAAAAAGGAGCGTGTGAAGGATCTTGAGGAAAGGGGCGTGTGAAGGGTCTGTGAGGGAAGGAGCGTGTGAAGGAGCGTGAGGAGGGAACGTTGAAGGAGCTGTGAGGGAGGGAACGTGTGAAGGATCGTGAGGGAGGGAAACGGTAAGACTGGAGGGGGGAACGTGTAAGAGTCGTGAGGGGGGAACGTGGAAGGATCTGTGAGGGGGGGAACGGGAAGGAATCTGGAGGAAGGAGCGTGTGAAGGGGTCTGCAAGAAGGGGGCGTGTGAAGGATCTGTGAGGAAGGGAGCGTGTGAAGGAGTCTGAGGAAGGGAGCGTGAGGTAGGGACTGTGTGTGAAGGAGTCTGTGAGGAAGCCTGTGAGGAAGGGAGCATGGGAAGGAGTCTGTGAGGGAGGGAGCAAGCGTGAGGGGGAGAGAGAGAGAGAGAGAGAGGGAGGGAGCGTGGGTCTGGGGCGTACACGCATGCTTGGCCAGGTAGAGGCGGGCTGGCTGGAGGACTGGTGGTGTCGGCGCGGCCCCAACAGTCAGGTGCAAGAGCAGCTTCTACCAAGCCGCGTTCACCCTCCGCCGTCAGGAAAAAATCAATAGTGATACCGTAGTGGGTCGGCTGTGTCGCAGTCTACCGGGAAATAATCCATAAAGCGATAGTGTAACGGAGAGACTCAGCGACAGGAGGTAAAGCATGCCATTAACACACCCCGACGCAAATTCTCTCCCCTACTGAGGCGAGTGTCGAGCGAGGAACTCACCCGAGAGAAGTTCCTGTGGTTTCATGTATATTTAGTGTGATTTGTTAGTGAGTGTAACATTAATTCTCGGGTGAGTGGCTCCTGTGATCATGTCGCGGGAAGTTGATTGCAACACCTCGCTCGATAGCCACCATTACTGGTAACGAGTGATCAAATGTCCCTGCAGAACGCCTTTTTACCCAACTTATTTGTTACCCAAGACGAGAATGTGAAACTACGGAATGAATCAGTTGTACATAAATAAAGTCAAACTCGAATCGATTTATATAACTGGATGTAAATTTCCCACATAATGAAAATGTTATTCATGTCACGTTTTGATAGACGACTTGGCCTGCCTCCCTTGTGTACTTCAGTGTTGCTGGCCTGAAACTTTCGTTCATACACACTGAGGACAACTTCCCTACAAAACTCTGGAAAATGTTGGTCATGAAGACCTTCCTTCACATCTCTGCTGTGATCTTCCTCTCAGGTAAGGTGTCCTCACGCTCCACTGCCTCTTAATTGGGAATCTACACGTGAAAAACTATGTATTCGTTATAATACAACAAAATCCTTTTATTTTTAAAACTTGTATCATATTTTTTTAAATTTTTAATATCGATGAATAACCACGAGATTATTTTCTATGGATTTTAAAGTGGCATTTTCTGCTTTATTGTGAATACAATATTAAAAGTGAATTCTTAATTTGCCGTTTTAAAAGTTCGAAGCTTTCTGGGCAATTTTTGTCAAACGCAACGAACAAAGTTGAGTACAGTGAATGTCTTTTATATCTTTGTGTAATTAAATCAGCCCCTTTTGCAAAAAAAAAAAAAAACAATTCAGTCACATATCAATTCCCTTAAAGGGCCCTTTTCCCCCGCCTCCCCAATCCGAAATAATGGAAATTTAAGCGAGTTTGTTAGAGTAATTAAGAGCGCATGAGTTTTTCTGGCATTCGCTGGCTTTTTCGTTTTCTATTTGCACTTCTTGATCATTTAATTAAGAAGTCTCTGCAGAGTAAATAAATCAAGAGACTAAAATGGCTAAGATTCTTCTTATCACCCAAGTTTCTCAATATTTCGCACGCTCATCCTCTTTCCAAAACTTTGAGCAAAGCTTCTTATACTTTTTTTTATGGTTTTAATTTTCCAACTCCACAGTGGCCGATACAGTCACGCTTTGATGTCTCATTTAAAGATATTGTGGACACTTCCCGTGCTGGCTTTAGAACTCTTGTCTTTGTTAGCTCTCTTGGTAATGATGAAGGGCTCTTGATTCCAGGAAGAGGGTTACCTCCCTTCTTCGAATCAGATTTGATTTGCATGCAATTCCCCAGATGCTGTATGCCCCTTAGTGGTTGAGCTCTCTCTCCCTTCAATGTGCTCAATGTTGATAAATTAGACACATGTGCAACTCTTGGGTATCTTTAATAAGGAAACGTTTCGCCACACAGTGGCTTCATCAGTCCATACACAGAAGAAGCTTGAAGAACAGGAGGAGAATGAGGTAATCAGAATGAGGTAATCAGATTACCTCATTCTCCTCCTGTTCTTCAAGCTTCTCCTGTGTATGGACTGATGAAGCCACTGTGTGGCGAAACGTTTCCTTAATAAAGATACCCAAGAGTTGCACATGTGTCTAATTTATCAACGTGTCGGTTCTGTGAGCCAGTCATCTACAATCTTGATAGGTCAACTGACTGATCAGATTAACGAATAGAGGATCTAGTCTCAGCCGCTTCCTAGGTTGAATGACCCCCCACAGTACGAGCTTCATGAAATACAAAGCAGATTCTTGACGCTGAATCAAATTATGAAGTGGAGGCATATATTGTCGACGTATATTGAAATAAAGATAAAATATGCAAAACGTGTTTTTTATTGAGACAACGTTTCTCTCGGCGTAAAGCCTGAGTGAGTCCCAACATATTTTTATTCAGCATATTGTGTTTAGCACCCATGATCTAAATATACTGCTCGTTTTCGTGATGTATTAGCGTCACTGTAGCTAATATGGCGATTTGTTTGGCGATACTATGTCATGTATAAAGTTTTATACTTTCGTACATTTATCCCGTGGAAGAATTTTACTGGCTTGGCTTATTACGTTTTGATGTTCTGGCGGAAAAAAATTTAACTTTCTTTGCTCTGTGGATTCAACTGTCAGTTTAAATTATGAAAAGACTCGTCCGCTCCTCACTTCTTGGGTAAATGTGAACATCCAGGTGTGTGTGTGTGTGTGTGTGTGTGTGTGTGTGTGTGTGTGTGTGTGTGTGTGTGTGTGTGTGTGTGTGTGTGTGTTACCATTTTGTCAAAGGCACTTGTCGATAAGACATTTGGCGTATGTGTGTGTGTGGGGGGGATGGTGCTGTCCCTCGTATGATGATGAAGTGGAGATGCCGGAGTTGCTGAGCTCTCTGATTATGTTGCTTTGAGCACAAGCCTTCACCCAGCTATCCTTTGACATTAAGCCACCCCCCTCTCCCACAATAACCCCTTACTTGCCCGACACTCTTGCACAACAGCCCTTTGCTTTCCAGTCACTCTTGGCACAACAGCCCTTTGCTTTCCAGTCGCTCTTGCCACAACAATGCTTTCCACTCTTGCCACAGCAACCCTTTGCTTTCCAGTCACTCTTGCCACAACAATGCTTTCCACTCTTGCCACAGCAACCCTTTGCTTTCCAGTCACTCTTGACACAACAATCCTTTGCTTCCCACTCTTAGCTACCATTTGCATTTTAGATGGCCCCCTCTATTATAACTGCCCTTCAGCCACTCCTTACTACAGCTAGCATTTATTCTCAAGCCGCCACCTGCCACAGTTACCCTTTGCCCTCAAATCACCTCCCCAAGAGTAACCATTTTCCCTTCAGCCACTCGCTACCTCAGCTACAATTTACCCTCCATTCTACCTATTAAGTATTCAAAGTCACGGTTTCGTTGCCACTTCTGACTGAATTTTGACTCTTATTACAGCTTCAGCGACGACTGACTCTGCTCAAAGGGCTTTCTTCATGATTCTTTAGTTCCTTATGGGCCGGTTTCTTCTCTTCCCTCCTCTCCTCTCAATTCTCTCCATCTACCTTTTTCTCTTCTTTCCACTCTCTATTTTCCTCTCTTTCCTTCCTACCTCTCTCTCTCTTTTCTTCTTTCTTTTTCCTTTTCGTTTCTCTTTCTCTCTCTCTTCTCTTCTCTTCTCTTCTCTCTTCTTCTCTTTCTCTCTTCTCTTCTCTCTCTTCTCCTCTTTCCCCTTCTCTCTTTCTCTTTCTCTTTCTCTCTTCTCTTTCTCTCTTCTCTTTCTCTCTTCTCTTTCTTCTCTCTCTCTCTTCTTTCTCTCTCTCTCTCTTTCTCTCTCTCTCTCTTCTTTCTCTCTCTCTCTCTTTCTTCTCTCTCTCTTTCTCTCTCTCTCTTCTCTCTCTCTTTCTCTCTCTCCTCTTTCTCTCTCTCTTTCTCTCTCTCTTTCTCTCTCTCTTTCCTCTCCTCCTTTCTCTCTCTTCTCCTTCTCTTCTTTCTCTCCTTCTCTCTCTTTCTCTCTTTCTCTCTCTCTCTCTCTCTCTCTCTCTCTCTCTCTCTCTCTCTCCTCTCCTCTCTCTCTCTCTCTCTCTCTCTCTCTCTCTTTCTCTCTCCCTCTTTCTCCCTCTTTCTCCAATTTGTCACTAGTTTGTCTTGAAATTTTTCTTATTCCTTTTTCATACAAGTATTTTTTTAATACGTATTGGTTGTATTTTGAGTGAGCGCGCCAACCCCTCTTAACACACACACACACACACACACACACACACACACACACACACACACACACACAATTTTCCCACCAATGATATTCAGATTTGAAAGTTTCCTGTTTTTTCAGTCACCTCTTTGGCAGTTGTATCGCGGCTGTTTTTATCCAAATAATTTTTTATCAGATGTTTCGTTTTTTATAGTTTTATGCATAACCAGCCCCGAAATAAAACTAACAAACTTATACGAAGCGTGAAGAAATTGACGTTGGTAACCACGTAGGGAAATTAACGTAGTGAAACGAGGATCGACTGAGCCACCAGCTACGGTGGGTCGATAAGTAAGACATATGTGCAACAGTTAGGTATTTTTATTCCGAAACGTTTCGCCCAGACAGCAAGCTTCTGTCGAGCACAGAAGAGGTAGCAGAAGCAGTAGATATGTGAGGATATTATCAGACCGTCACCCTTGAAGATGCAGCTTTGAGGTGGTCAGTCCCTCAAAACTACGACTTCAAGGGTGATGGACTGATTACATCGTCTTCACATCTCTGCTGCTTTTGCTAACCTTTCTGTACCCGGCTGAAGAAGCCTACTGCGTGGGCGAAACTTTTCGGAATGAAGATATCTGATTGTTGCACATGCCTTATCAACCTGTCGTTATGGAAACCATTTTCATATTCACGGTGGGTCGAGTCATCAACGGTTCGCGTCTCGGTCAATGTCTGAGACCTTTCAGCGTGCCTCATGACGCCAGCTGTCTATCTTCACCTAGAAGTAAATAGTGATGGTTGCTTTTGGTGCTCTTACTCCGGAGTGTCTGTGTGTTACCCTGGAAATGCATTTCCTGGTTAGCTTCAGATTTTCAAATATGACGCATCTTTCTTGCAGGAAGTTTGCATTTTTATTAATAAGCTTTGTTGATATCAATTTGCCAAGTTGTGATATTGGTTTTCGTGATGATTGCTAGAGAATGACGCCTCTGATGGGCTTCAAACTATTGATAGTAGTACGTCTTGCTTAAAGATAGTTTCAGATCGCAGTTAGCTATATTATTAAACCAAAATTGAGATGTGACTCGATAATGCCTCTTCTGAGCGGCTTCAAACTTTGAACATAGATGCATCTGACTACGAACAAAGTTCAGCACAGATTTAGGCCATTTTTTTTTTTACCACTAACAATAGGTGTCTTTGGTTTCCATGTGATGACTGGAGACTGATAGAGTAAGAAAACATTGGTGTGGCAATAGAGTTGTGGATGAGTAGAACACAAGAGTAGAGTCATTGAAACTAAAACCTTGAGTACCTTTAAAAATATGTTCGACAAGTACACGAGTGGGCGTGGGTAGGTGTTAGGTGGACCTACCTAGCATGGGTCAGTAGTCCTGCAGCAGTGCTCCTTCCTTATGTTCAAAATTTCGATGCTAATGTATTTTGCTCAGCGGAAAGTTTGCGTTGTTACTGGGCTGTGTAAGCGCCAGTTTGCCAATGTTGTTGAGTAAATTTACGATATTGGTTGCCATGTTATAACCTGGGAATGTGTATATTAGCTTTAAACTTCCAACAATGGAACATCTTGTCTGAAGGTAAAGTTAGAATTTGTACTGGGTTTTGTTGGTGCCAGTTTGACAGGTTTGTTTATAAAATGGTAAGTGAAATACTTGGCGTTTTAAAACACTAATACATCATAATTATTTCACTACTACACCTGGTGCCTCTGTATTTGACTGAAGAAGCCTACTGTGTAGGCGAAACATTTCAA